ACACTGATAGCTATTCCCCCACAATCAAACTTACTTACTTGCGCCACAAGTAAATTACCACCTACATAGTTATTCGCCCAAGGCAAGTCCTTGGGAAAAACTATACTCTCTGCATGAGATGCATTAGGATGATCAAGTATTTCAGACATGTGACAGTTTATTCGAACACTCGAAAACTCAGCTCCCATATCGTTACAATCAACAATAGCATTGTCTCTCAATTTTCCAGCGTAAGGATAGTAAGAGACTAGAGTTTTTGATAGAGATGTTTGTAGCAAGTGTGCTATATGAGATAGTTCATTATGAGAATAATTAGTTGACTCCTCTCTTTGTTGTACTTTAGGGTAAAAAAGTGCCAAAGGAATATACATATTACTATGGAATTGATCAATGTAAGACAGTTTGTGGTATCTAAGAGTAGGTGAGGTGAGAGAAGAAGGTTTAATTAAGGTTTTGTCACAAACTGAGGCAAGTGATGGTGATGATAATAATGCAAAAGCCATGATTAATTTAATAGATAACACAAATAATTACCTCTATATAATGGTAATTAAGCTTGTTGATTTGCTTCCCCATTTCTCATATATATATAGACACGTGATTTTTGACCCACTCTAGTCTTTTTTTTGTTTACTCTGTTTAAAAATAAAATAAAATAAAAATGAAAAGATTCCTTCACTTCATATATTTTTGGTAACAATTCTCATGTGACCTCATACCATACACACATGACTCCCCTCACACTTTTTCACACATACTTACGTTTTTTGGCTTACCAGTTCAATTCCATACCCACACATATAGACACGAGAATTGTTCATATGATAAGCACTTTTTACGTTTTATCTCCAATATTAATGTTGCAGTATCGAGTCACACATATATACGCACAGGAGCATGATGAAGAGGAGGGGGATGGATTATAGGATGAGAAGTAAAAATTCATGGGGAGGAATACACACCAGACACAGATAGGCAACGACAGAGCAGGCGGACACAAATAATCAAACATATGTTACTGATTTGGGGAATAAATAATTAATGCTAAAGCTAAAACATGGAATCTTAATATGTTAGAAGTGATGAGTAAATAAAAATCTACTGATGAAATAGTGAATAAATAAAAGTGAACCTATGGAATATTTTCCATTTTATATTAACAGTGGTTTTAGCTTTAACGAAAATATCCTAAAATAATTAGTATCACTTTTTAAGAATTCAAAATTGAAGTAGTCAACAATTTTCAACTATAGCCTAATTTTAAAAAAAACATTTTGTTTAAAAAATATATTGCTCAATTTTTTTTAAAAGCACATCTACTATAATAAATAAGGATAACTTAGTAGGCATTTGGATATGCGATTTGATATCATGATATGAAATTATGAGATGAAATTAGTGTTTGGACATGTGATTTTACACTGATTTAATATCAAATTCTTCAAAAATCATGATTTGGGATTTTTCAAATACAAAAATTGACCCACAATTTTATTTTTTATAAAAACAACCCCATATTTATATTTACTAACCATTTATTTCATATGTAAAAAAAAAAAGTAATTCATATAATTACTTTTTAAACCACTTACATCTCATATAATGATTATTCTCACTAACATATACTCCCTCCGTTTCAAAAAGAATGACCTAGTTTGACTTGACACGAAGTTTTAAGAAAATAAAGAAGACTTTCGAATCTTGTGGTCCTAAATTAAAGTTATGTCAAATGTACAAAATTGCCCTTTAATCTTGTGCCCTTAAACATGTCACGTGGAAAGTTGAAATTAAAATGTTACCAAAAAAGAAAGAGGTCATTCTTTTTTAAACAGACTAAAAAGGAAAGAAGGTCATTTTTTTAAACGGAGGGAGTAATTTATTATTACTTCAAATCAATTTCTAATTTACCATTTATATTCTTCAAATTCATTATTTTTTTTATCAAATTTATTTACCCACCAAATTATCCAACAAATAGCTCAAAGTAACAACGTTGGTTCGTCTTTTCAGTCGTATGAACGATAAATGCAAGTTTAACATGAGAAGATTGTCCATACTATTTAAGAAAACTATATTAAAGACTAGAATACCACAACTTATATATGTTTAATTTTATTTTTTTATTGAATTAAAGCTTGATCAATAAATATTATATTTTTAAGAATATTGTTGTGATAAAAAGTATTATGAGATTTTATAAACTTTTGCTTATTTGGTAATATTGTATAAGGAATTGAGACAATTTAATAGTTTTACTACTTATGAAGTTTTTATATTTATGAGAAAATATATAACATAAAAGTAGATACCTCAGGACGTTTGTGTACGTAATTCTCCTTGATTTTAAAATAGTTTGTTAGTGAAAAATTACAATATAACAAAAAATACAAGATTACAATTGAAATAAAATGAAGAAACATAAATCTCTTCAGGCTGAGATGCGAATATCTCGCGCTCTTTAAGGAGATTCAAGTCTACTGCAACTAATGTTTTTCACGATCCAGCAGTAGTCCTTCTTGACTTGTCCCCTCCAGGTAAAAATAACAAGAAAAATATAGAGTGAAATAGTTAGTCAAAAAAGAGAGTTCTTATTAGTTGAAGGGATGTGTTCTTTTTGTGGAGCTTTGGACTCAGTCCAGAGTTGTTGAGTTATACTTTGTGTTAAGGCTGTTGTATCCTGGAGGGGACAAGTCAAGAAGGACTACTGCTGGACCGGTGAAAAACATTTGTTGCAGTGAACTTGAATCTCATTAAAGAGAGCTAGATATCCGCGCCTCAGCCTGAAGAGATTTCTATTTCTTCATTTTATTTCAATTGTAATCGTGTATTTTTTTTTATATTGTAATTTTTCACTAACAGAGTTCATACATATAAACACTCTACTAATTAGCAATTGTTTGATACAATCTCTAAGATTAATACTAAAAATAAAGTTATTAGTATATAAAATAAATTGTTGAATTCTTCATTCTTGTTACAAAAAAAGCATCCAGTGTAATGGCAAGATGGTTACTGATTGACACATGAGATATCTCACATGCAACACATAAAATACTAATATTATTCAATATAAACATTTACATAAAGCCACTAATTTCATTGAACCACCCCAAGATGAACTAGTAAATATTAATTAGATGAACGGAAACAAAGCCATCACAACATAAATGAAATCCGTGAGGATACTCCTAAAAACTTGGAACCAATTAGGAAATAAGCTCAAGAAGCTCCTCATCGCGTTCAAATTCAGACATATGTTGTTTCTGCAACATTACCCGCGCATCCACACCTCCACCAATCTTGTAATCTTTCAAGAAGAATAAATTCTTGAAAGGACCATTTGGTAAACTAACTCTTTCAGGTTTTCCCCATCCAAAATCCACTTTATACAATGGAAATCTACAAAGATTACTACAAGAATACACATTCTCATATTCATCATCAAATGGTTTTTTCCCTTTTCTCATGGATTCTACTACTTCTAAGATCAATTCATTTTGTTCGACATGATCTTTCGTGTACGCCACCTCAACTCCCTTCCTTAAATTACGAACCAACGTTGGTAACTCAATGTCTTGTTCGTTAGTTGCTGTTGTGGAGAAACTGGACAAGAGATTCCCAATGGCACTTTGAGGTAGACGAGATTTCATCATACTACGTACGTTTAAAAGGTGAACAAACTTTGATGGACGACGCGTAAGCATTGAAGTAGTTGTACTTGATGCTGCCTTAACTGCACATTTGAAAAGTAGAGCGCTCACAACTTCAGCCCTTGTTGGATTTTCTACTCCCGATTCTTCTGCTACCTTCAAATTATGTCGTATAAATTGAAATAGAGGAAACATGAAGAAAAAACCATAAAAGCAAATAATAATAATGGACTTGTGATATGATTACCTTAGCTCTAAGTGCGTCTAACTTGGTTGTAGGAAAAATGATTCTTTTTTGTACACATTCACTGACATTAGACAACATTTGTGGCGCAATAATAGGACTATAATTATTTGACGAGAAAACAGAATCTCCTACAAATTTAGGAGCCAAAGTTGTTGTCATACGACTATGAGTCATACGAGACCAATCATTAACGAAATTAAGCACAGAGGTTCCATCACCAATCTTGTGCGATAAGCACACACTGATAGCTATTCCCCCACAATCAAACTTACTTAATTGTGCCACAAGTAAATTACCACCTTCATAGTTATTCGCCCAAGGCAAGTCCTTGGGAAAAACTATACTCTCTGCTTGAGATGCATCAGGATGATCAAGTATTTCAGACATGTGACAGTTTATTCGAACACTCGAAAACTCAGCTCCCATATCGTTACAATCAACAATAGCATTGTCTCTCAATTTTCCAGCGTAAGGATAATATGAGACTAAAGTTTGTGATAGAGATGTTTGTAGCAAATGTGCTATATGGGATAGTTCATTATGAGAATATTTAGTTGACTCCTCTCTTTGTTGTACTTTAGGGTAAAAAAATGCCAAAGGAATATACATATTACTATAGAATTGATCAATGTAAGACAGTTTGTGGTATCTAAGAGTAGGTGGGGTGAGAGAAGAAGGTTTAATAAAGGTTTTATCACAAGCTGAAACAAGTGATGGTGATGATAATAATGCAAAAGCCATGATTAATTTAACAGATAACACTACTTAATCCTTAGATAATTATCTCTATGCAATGGTAATTAAGCTTGTTGATTTGCTTCCCCATTTCTCATATATATATATAGACATGTAATTTTTAACCTGTTCTAATTTTTTTTGTTTACTCTGTTTAAAAAGAAATAAAATAAAAATGAAAAGATTCCTTCATATCATTTCTGGTAACAATTCTCATGTAACCTCATACCATACACACGTGACTCCACTCACACTTTTTCACACATACTCACGTTTTTTGGCTTACCACTTCAATTTCATTCAAATTTTTTTGTTTACTTTGTTTAAAAAGAAAATAAAATAAAAATGAAAAGATTACTTCATATCATTTCTGGTAACAATTCTCATGTGACCTCATACCATATAAACGTGACTCCACTCACACTTTTCCACACATACTCACGTTTTTTGGCTTACCAATTCAATTCCATTCAAAAAAAATTTTGTTTACTCTGTTTAAAAAGAAAATAAAATAAAAATGAAAAGATTACTTCATATCATTTCTGGTAACAATTCTCATGTGACCTCATACCGTACACACACGTGACTCCATTCACACTTATCCACACATACTCACGTTTTTTGGCTTACCACTTCAATTCCATTCAAATTCTTTTTGTTTACTTTGTTTAAAAAGAAAATAAAATAAAAATGAAAAGATTCCTTCATATCATTTCTGGTAACAATTCTCATGTGACCTCATACCATACACACGTGACTCCGCTTACACTTTTCATCACACTTTTCCACACATACTCACGTTTTTTGGCTTACCACTTCAATTCCATTCAAATTCTTTTTGTTTACTTTGTTTAAAAAGAAAATAAAATAA